CTGGTATAAACCTATATGAGTACACATTTACCTTTTTGTTATTATTTAGATATAATTACTGGATAATGCATGGCAAACATACAATTAAAAAACATGTACAACTTACCTTGTAAATTCGGGATTAGAAAGTACAACTCCCAAGAAATTAGTAAATATAACAAACAACCAAACACTACCCCATCCAGAGATAACCCATACACTTACATATATTAATTGGCGTCACCAGAAATACCGAATAATCAATTGATCACATTTAACTATTGCTATACGCGATTGCAGGTTGCCGATGTGTGGTGTGGCAGGGGATGCCCTGGCGCGTTTGTCTGAATTTTAGCAATCATTAGATTGAATATAGGCCCCATTGAAAACATGGGAATGATAATTGGGCAAATAACAAGTATTTTTCAAGACATTGAAAACATTGTTATTCACTGTAAGACAGTAATAACTTAATTTACCTTAGTTTCCATTGGAATAAAAATCATAAACATTAAAAGAAACAAAGACTATTCTTATTTCATTTGTTTTTAATTTTTGGTTGAAGCATTATAACTTTTAATATAAATCAATATTATATTTAATTAAATATTGTTAATTTTACCTTCATCAGATAAACTTTGAATGCAATCATTTCTATAATTTTCAAGGAAGTACACATTTCCATTAGGTTTAAATCTAAAGAGCCATTCATTCTAACAAGTAATTTTAACTTGATAATATTTTGTTATGGGCTGAATATAATATTTGTAATAACATCAATCCCTTACCCTCAACTGCACCAAACATATTTGATTGAATAAATTATAGCATTGTTATTGACTATATCAAAGCGTTTTTCTGTGTGTACGAAATTGAACGAATGACGTTTTTTATTATTAATAATTAATTTATTAATTTACTTGCATCTGCTTGGATTGTGTTTTATCTAAGCGTATCAAAAAGTTTTAATATGGGTGCGGCCACGGTTTAGATCCCTAGTCCATTCAAAGTAGTTTTTTAAGAATCTTCGGTTTATTCCAGACAAATCTTAGAGTTATATTAAAAAACGAATTAGTACAGTCATCTTAGTCAAAAAAGGGATCAACCTCGGAATCTAACGGAATAAGCTGAATTTTTGTGAAAACCTTTATTTTAGCATTACAAATGTTGTCTCAAAAGTCACATATGCCAACGTGTGAGCGGCCTTAGATATTCAAGGTCAAAGGTCGCAAAAATCAGTTTTTTGAGAATATCTCGTTTTCTCTGCTTCCTATCGTATTTGCATTTATTATAAAAGTTGTAGAGAATAAAATTTCAAAATCTCAATCTATTATACCGTTTTTTTAAATAATTATATAATAAATATTACTAAAATAAAAATTTAATACCTTATACTTATATTTATATTTCTTTTAAATCAAATATATTTTATCTTCATATAATATATTTTATTTTAATTTTAATAAAGGATAATTGGATCTGAGTAGAAAAAAATGTTTTTATTTATATCAATATTATTATTATTAATCTTTATCTTCTTCATCCTCGTCTTCTTCAGGTTGGCCAGCAATTTCAGACTCATTCTCATCATCACTCTCCTCGTTATCATTGACATTAATTGTCATATCTTCAAAAACTAACTTATAACGCGTTTGTACTTTGCAGATTTTTTTGCCTTTGTTGCCTCATCTGCGACTTCACCACAAAATAAGAATAATATAAAATCAAACACATCATTCCCTTTTTTACGAGGTACAGTTGATGAGTCAATGAGTCATTAATGATGACGTTGAAGGTCCAATCTCTTCAAGGCGACGTTTTGCTGCCGCAATTTTACTATAGTACGCTATAGCGTACAATTTTCGACACTCAATATGAACGTTCACAGAAGTCAAAGTATTTAGGTAGTTTATGTGTATTTCTCTCAATAATTGCTTCTTTTAAAGTCTTTATACCGCGCACAAAAGTCACAGAATTACCTTCAGAAAGTAACTTATTACAAATAAAACACAAATCAGCCATGTTAACCTTTAAAATATTACGAATATTACCTGTCACAACCCTATACCTATACCTAGGGTCACAACTTGCTTTAAATATAGGTATACCTAACCTTTTTATTTATAGCAAGCCCACTATAGTATTTCCAGGTCTGTTATTTTAAAAGCAATATCTTGATCCAAGAGATGACCAGAGACATATTCAAGGCAAATTCATTTAATGTCTTTTCTTCTTAAAATGCATTTATCATTATTTAGAATGATTCACTTCATTATTTAATTACTTGTATGTCAAAAGTAAGTAATATTTAATGACTATTTGTTTTAAAAAATATATAAAAATAAATATAAGGTATTAAATTGTTATTTAGGTAATATTAAATAAATAATTAAGTAAAAAAAAACGGTATAATAGATTGGGATTCATGATTTACCTTGCGCTAAAGGTACGTATGGCTGAGCGCTCCACACTCTGCGCCCTCTATCTCAAAAAACGATTAGACGTATAAAAAAATATTTTTAACAAAATTTGTAGATAATTTTATTCTCTACAACTAGTATAATAAATGCAAATACGATAGGAGGCAGATAAAAGGAGATATTCTCAAAAAATTGATTTTTGCGACTTTTGACATTGAATATCTAAGGCCGCTCACACGTTGGCATATGTGACTTTTGAGACAACATTTGCATTGCTAAAATAAAGGTTTGTACAAAAATTCGGCTTATTCCGTTAGATTCCGAGGTGAAATGCCTAGATGATGGACTAACACAGAATGGACTAGGAATCTAAACCATGGCAGTACCCACATTAAAACTTTTTGACACCCTTAAATAAAACACATTCCAAGCAGATGCAAGTAAATATGCTATAGTTGACGTTCTCACTCAAGAAACAAAACAAACGAAACGCACCAAAGGTGCTAAAATACAATCTAGAGGTCAATAATTAAATCTAATATTTAAAAATCCGATTTTAGGTTGTAATAAGTTGTGATAGTAAAGTAAATTTGTAAATAATAGTTATTATTATTAATATTAATATTATCATTATAATTTTATAAAAATTTATAATTGATATAAGTAAGAGGATTTTCTCGAAGGTTTAAGTAAATTTAGATTAAAACTAGATAGGCCTTTACGAATTTTAAAACAGCGTTGTAAGGGGACATCCATTAATTACGTGAGGCATTTTTCTGATAATTTGGACCCGTCCCTCCCCCTTGGTGAGATTTGGTGAGATGTGGTAGACCACCCCCCTATCCGTCACGTGAAATTCTAGCCATTAAACTTTCTTTGTAGACAACCAAAAAATAAAAATTGATAATTTTTTTTTTGACAAATTTGTATTATAATACATATTCTTTAAACCCAAAAGTTGACGTGAGATTTTTATTGACCCTCCATTAACATGAGATTTGGTGAGATTTTGCTAGACCCCTCCCCCCTATTTTTATCTCACGTAATTAATGGATGTCCCCTAGGGAAATAAGAATAATTCCCCAATAGGCAGTTTCTTAGCTCAAATGAAATGTACTAATATTTTTTATAAGAAAGGTTTTATATATTGGGAAAAAATAGATAAATCAAGAAGAGCTCATCTCATGAGAACAGCCTATATTGTTTAGACTTCGTATAAAAGTAGTCAATTTGAAATGGCAATAGCTAAGGAATTAAACAAATTGTTAAAAAATATATCATAAAAAACTCAAAAAATATACAATTCTTTAAACTCCAGCTCTGAAAAGTTTTTCCCAAATTAAACCTTTTCGTAACAAATCACAATGTAAATGCTAAAGAAAAACATTTCAAAAATTAAAAGTCAGTCCAAGACTAAAAATAAACTTTAAAAATTTCAAGTATGTATTTCATTTAAGTAAACTTTTAATAAAACATAATTTTTAAGCTATAGCCATAGTTAAGTTTTATTTGTAATAAAGAGACTCCAAAACGCCTTGCTATCATATTTTTTAAGCGATTTTAGTTTAAAGCTTGGTGTATTTATGTCAGGGATTAAAGGACCCACTTACTGCTACTGCTACTAAAATGTGTTTCATCTTAATGACCTGACCTGATGTTTTAGCAGCTTAACCGCAAAAAAACAACTAGCTAAAGTTTTCGGCAATAAGAAATAATATACCATTTAAAAAATATAAGATGGATGTTATATTTACTTCACCAACTTTTAACAGACCTCCTCATATATTATATATAATATTATGTTGCCATATATTCGTAGGTATATTTTGTTGTCGGCCTCAGAACTCAAATATAAAAATGGTTGATTTTAAGGTTAGGTTTGTGCAAAAATTATTTTTTACTAATTTCTTAAAAGTGTCCAAACTTAAATATAAATTAAATTAGGTAAAGTTATAATTAGTTAATTCTGCACCAACAAATGTACTTCCCGAATTGGATCCTTTGGCAAAACATGAAAATGCAACGATTTAGTTCTTGAATTTTATTTACAATTAAAAACAGAATAATTCACCATGATCCCTTATATAAAATACACACTAACTAACTATATAAGCATTTAAGGGATGAGTTTCTTGATCAATCATTAATGATATAAAGAATAATCAATCGAAATCGAGTACTAAACCAGTTTTTTGGTTTTTTCCTTGCAACGCAAAACACAAATAACGTGCACGATTTAGCTGTGCAATTGAACAAAGTTTGTCGAGTAAGACTTCTGCCTTCCTCTCTTTTGTGAAAAAACTACATTTTTATTTAAAAATAATGTGCAGTTCGTATGCTTTAAATGTATTGTTGACAATTCTTAAATTCACGCAATGCTTTTGAAGTCCACCAAATGGCGCGCGCGTTGCGAATACCTGATACTTCTTTAGCGTATTAAAAGTATTAACCAATCAAAGCATAGCATTCTCTTGCAATCTAGTTTGAAATTTGTGACTTTACTTTGTATGAAACACGATGATAGTTACGGTAAAGAATAATGTCCCCTGAGTCAAGAATTTCAAAAACCACCCTTCTGTTGCATAATGGGTTTTTTCTTACCTTTTGGTTGGCGGGCTGGCTATTTTTGGTTGCGTTCCTGCCCGTCTTGAAGTGCAACCTGCGCAACGCAGACGTGGCCGTCGAAATCAAGTCGTCTGGGGGCCGCTGCGACTTGCTATTGGTCGTTGCTGTTGAGCCCGACTGCGAGTTTACCGTCATTCTGGGGCTGCTGTTTGTTGGGGTGCGCGGCGTGGCGGGGGCCGTTTGAGAACCGCCGCCGACGGGGGAGGTGTGGTCTTGGCGGTGCGGGTGACGGGCCGGGGTGTGCTGGGGATATGAGGGACGGCGATGGGACGGAGTGCCACAGGGTCCAGTGTTCGGGCCGTCTCCGCCGCTTATGCCTACCGACGAGTGGCAGCCCTTCTGCAAAAAAAAAACAATCATTAATATGTTTTTTTGCGTTTTTTTGTAATAAAATAATATAACTGGCATTTTGAAATCTATTCCTATAGGTAATTGCAAAAAAATAGCACAATTTAATAATTGTTGATTGCATTTCGATTGGAACTGAGAAAAAACCCTATAAAAATACTTATCCCTCTAATGCAGAGCTGGACTACATTTATCTATTTCGTAAAATCGACATTTCATAATACCATAATACCATGAAATAATAGCTTTTGTAAATTGTTTGCAGAACTAAGTCCTAATATTAATACAACGGTCTTGATATATATCAGGACTTGCATTGGTTCTACATTTTCAATAAAAACTTAAAAGCACAGTATAAGGACCTTATGCTGTGTTATAAGTCTTATTAAATTACTAGCCGAATACCTGGACTACCGTGGTTCTAAGAAAAAATTAGGAGTCATCTATACTTTTAAATAAAATTGTGTTTGATTGTTATTCGTCCCGTTCCTGTTTTCATGTGGAACTTTAAATAAATGTTAATAAAAATAATAGTATATTGTGCGACTAGTGGGAGAAAGAGGAGTTTGCCTTACGAGCTTAGCGAGTAACACGCGAATGGAATCTTCTCTTTTGACCAATAGTCACACACAATATTTTATTAAACTAAAGCAACTGTAAAACTGTTTTAACCTTACTTTTTTCTCCAGCCCGTGGACGAAATAACATTAAGGTTATTTCATAACCCACAAATTAACCTTCAAATTGACATTTGACAGCCCTGATAGAATAAGATTTATTTTTTACAAAAGAGGAGTAAAATGATTGTTCCTTTGAGGTCTCTTTTAAGGCTTGCAAGTCTCTCTGTAAGAAACACAACGTTTAAAACGATTATTAATCTGTACAAACCCAAAGCACAAGAATTGTAAATAACAAAAATGGCCGCCATTGAATGGTGTGCAGTGTTGCAGTGATTTTTAGTATTTTTACTACGAGATCGAACAGACCTTGTTGTGTGGATTGTGGGTAAGTATACATTTTATTTGCTAAACGCGATATATGTAACCACACTTCCTATGTATTTTCATTATTGTACGGCCATGTATAATAATTTGACTTTTGAACTGCGTACAAATGAAGTATTTCTGTATAGGCTTATGATTGGTATAATATGAAACTTGTTATACCCTTGTTTTAAAATAACACTTTTGTTAAAAAACGCCTATTTAATTTTTGAAATTCATTTATATATTTACAAATAAAAAATAAGAGGTCTATATCTATGTAGATTTTGTTGAAAGGGGATCCATTTAAAAAACGTGCAGTAATGGTAACGATTGCGGTTAAACCAATTCCTTAGACAATGTGATACATGGAGTGCTAACTCCTATACCAAAAGCGCTTAAAATTTTAGTCGGATAAAACATATTTTTTAATAACTAGCATAATTTGTTTATGATAATTTTTGTTCATTCTACCAGTGTTTTTATTGCTTAGTTACTTACCAACTACATACACAGTAAAAAAATTCTGGTAAAAAACAACACCAAAAGTGGTCTATATAGGTCCACACTAGAAATGGTATATCTAACCACATACAATTTGGTAAATTTTACCCTTTTTAATTGGTTAAAAATCTACACGTACTATTCGTACAAAAAACTCGTAACAGTGTAAAAATCATCAAATATAATACACTCTTAGGAGTAAAAGCAACACGCAATATTGTTAAAAAGAACTCAATTCAAGAGTAGAAAATGCTCAATTTGGTGTAATTTACTACACATTTTGGTGTTACTTGTAGGTGTTAAAAATGGTGGGTGTTTTAATATTAAACACAGCATGTAATGTAAAATAAAGTATATTTTATATTACTAACAAACTATTAGATATGAATACAAATAGGCTTTGGCATAAAATTAAAAAAAAATTATTAACACTACTTAGGTGTATTCTTATAACCAAGAAGTGTTAATATTTTTTTTTTATTTGAATAAAAAGTAGTACTTAATATTTTAAGTTTTTTCCAGTTTGTGAAAAACCATATTTAGCTATGATTTTTCACTAGCTCAAAAAACTTAAAATTTTACTAAATTTCATATTTCACTTATCACAGGTAAAAAAAACATGTTATATCACAAACATACTAAGTTGCATCCACTGTCACATTGCACCACTTTACCCGACCACTGAATTTTAATTTAAAAACCATGGCCTTAAAATAGCATGCATGGGTACACTACCATCAACTGCACTCGGAATACTGATCGCCGTTAGCGAATGGTGATGACTACGTGACTTTTTTACCACAGTGTGTGTAGCTGTCAACAAATAATAGTGTCAAATGTACACTGCGTCGAGTTTATCTTTAAATTAACACTAGATTGACACGGTGCTGTGTAAAATAAATTTAAATTAACACGAATGAATTTTACCACAATTTAAAATAAACACTTAATATTTTTGACCAATTTTAGTGTATAAATTAACACCAAATGATTTTACCACTCCATTTGGTAACTTTACACCGAAATATTTTTTACTGTGTAATATGTATGGCCCGCGCGGGCATAAAGACTCTAAAAACAGTTAATTTTTATTAATAAAATTACAAAATTTAAAATTGAGTACTATGCAAGTATCTACTTAACATTATTTAAAAATATGTTAAATGAAAATGTTGTTTAAATCAAATTAAATTTTCGGATTGTTTTAAACATTAATATTGTGGATGCAATAATGAACTAGTATGACATAAAAATTTGTATAGAATAGATTTTTGTAGTGTCTTACAACGTAAACGCCAATATGTCTTTTAAAAAAGGAAACCTAAAAAATCTATTAACCCGTACCTCAAAGGTGTTTTTTATATTTTATTATGTATTCAATAGACTTAATTAAAATAAACAAATATTTGGGAACCTTTTCACAGATTGAGATTTTGAAAAGCGCCACCTATTACAACTTCGTATACTAAAGAAACATTAGCAATCCATTTGATTTATTCTCTAACGTTAAATCCGATTGAGCGAAGAAAGAGAGTAAAAAGAGTTGGGAATGTCCCATTCACAAGAGTATTGGTTTTTTTATCGCACAATCAGTGCTTTGATATCGGAAATTCATTTGTAATCCAGCAAAGAATCGTTTACTTAACTTTGTTTACCAATCCACTAATTAATCTCGTTTCAAAAGAAAGTTTTTACTTCGTTTTTCCATAAACTTTAAATTATTTACATATTTAGTCAGTTCAAACGGTTTTAACGAAAAAGTTGAAAGAAAAATTTATTTTCAATTAAAAATGAATAACTTTCCACTTCTATATAATATTTATCCTTCAAAATTAAATGAATTAAACCAAATCGTTTCAAGGCCAGAAAAATTACAAATCGATTGAAATATGTATGTGTATTAAATTCTTAAATATACGTAAAAAAGAATAACAAGATGTTTTAATGCTATTTTTCGACAGCGTGCGGTAAGTTTCTACTTTCCGCACGCTTAACAGTGCGTAAGTTAAAAGTGAACGAAAAAAGGTATTGACATCGGAAACCATTGTCAAGGATATTAAGTATACTACTTTTTGACCTTAAATTGATAATCATTTAAAAGGTATTTCGTTTCTCTATTTAATGCTATTTAAATTTTTAAAATCCGTTTGGCCTGTTTGGTAGATCCTGCTCTGGCGGTACGAATTCTTGCAAATCTGTATCAGAATTTAATTTTTTTTATGTTGTAAAAAAAATTACTCGTGTAGTTTTAATAAAACTATAAATTGTACTCTCCAGTGTAAAAATATTTATCAGTTGTGCCTGCAATTTTACTTTTTATTATTAAGTATAAAAGCAATTTCCCTTATCCCTTTCCCCGCAATGTACTGACCGATCCTCTTTAAATCTATTATATAACTGTAGGTCGTTGAAAAGGACTAATAATGGAAAAGCTCCTTATTTAAATTATTTAATTAAATACATTTTAACTAAAAACAGGTAATTACTTCTTTTCAGTTAAAATGTATTCAATTAAAAAATAATTTAACTAAGGAGCTTTTTTATTATTAGTCCTTAAGCTTAAGCTGTTAAAATGTGTTTCTTCCTATATATACAGGGTGAGTCATTTAACTTGAAACTTTGAAATATCTCAGTTAGTATGCAATTTACAAAAAAATGTTTAATATAATTAATGATTCGATGGGGGGGAAATCATTCAGTACTAAAATTGGTCCTCATACTGTCCTCCTTATAGGGGGTAACTTTAAAATTTTCAATGCAACACCCTATTTTTTATTGCAGATTTGGATCATTCGACTAAAAATAGATAGATTTTGTCTAAAACTTTTTTCATATTTGTAATAGATGGCGCTGTAATGAAAAAAATCAATTTTGTTCGACTTTTCTTCTGTATACGATTCGGCAATAATTTTTGAATAAAATACTTGGTCTTATTTCTTAAATTTATTTATTTATTTCGTTTTATTATTCTGCTAACACTTCTCTGGGATATTCCCAAATCTCTTTTTTTCACTACAGCGCCATCTATTATAAATATGAAAAAATGTTTTAGACCAAATCTACCTATTTTTAGTCGAATGATCCGAATCTGCAATAAAAATAGTTTCAAGTTTCAAGTTAAATGAATCACCCTGTATATATATATATATATATATATATATATATATATATATATATATATATATATATACATGCACGGCTATCAATACGAAGCCCGGTGCATTACACTGGCTAGTCGAAGCCCGGTAATGCGGGACGGGGCGGTTAACTGTTCGATGGTGTATAAACAACAAGAGTCACACTCCGCGGTGTATAAGAAGCCCTGCGGTGTTGCCTCTGTCAAGAAGTGTTTTTTTAATTAAATTGTTTGTGTGTGAGATCTATTTTATAAGTGTTCTTTTTATTTCAATGTCTAAATTTATAATTATAGGCAAATTTGATTTAAAATACCTAGACTATACCTAAACTTAACCTATATTTTTAAATAATGACGTAGGTATACTT